TTTGATATACACACTTAGTTCTTCATTCATTAATGGTAAATTTTATGATATGTCTGTGTGTACATGGATTTTCTTTTGCTGTTTTCTCTCTGCATTTTCTTCTCCATCTCTTTCCTTATCTCAAGTCTCTTGTCAATACCAGGGATCCAGTTTTCAGCCATGCTTATTCAGTTGATTGATGTTTCTAATTTAGAATTAATTTTGTGATCAGGTTATTTTGGTCCTTAGCTAATTCTGTTGTTTTCTCTTCATGTCTTTGGGTTCTTCTTGCACTGCCCTCATGCTCTTACTAGGTCTCACTGTCACTCTGCTTGTTCCTGATTTTGAAGTTGTATTTCCTTTCCTCAAGAATGATGGGCCTTCTTTCCTTTCTTCTCTCCTTTTCCCTCCTCCCCACCTCTTTTTTTTTTTTTTAACTAAGTTTGTTTTTTACTTGATGTAACATTTACTTTCTACAGCTTGAGATGAGGAGAACAAGGAGAACTTAGTTGGGGCTGTGAGCAACTCTTTGTTAGAGAAGTTGATACCTCCTATGCCTTTTAACCTTTTACTCATGTCCTCCACCAGGATGTGCTCTCTGTATTGGAGGGTTTTTTGGGGGGGAATGGGAACTCTGAAGCCTCTGTTTCATCAGAACCCACCATAATTTTTCACTTTCTCAGTTTTACTCATCTCTTTCCAGCAGCCAGTTCTCCTCCACACAGTCACCCTCCCCACCCTCCCCTTAGGAGATCTTCCCCAGCATTCACCAGCTCCTGTCCCGCTGTGTCAGAACCTCTCTGTCATGGATGGCCAATGTGACAAACCTCTTTCTTTGTGGGGCTGCTGCCAGTGACTGTTCTGTTGGTTTTTAATGCTTGTTTTGTTGTTCTTAAGAATTTTTCAGCCGTCTTGACTCAGAAGTTCTGGTGCCAGGTGTGTTCACTGTGAAGCCTAGGTTGCCTCAGAAACCATTTGTTCCCTTAGTGCCAGAAACATCCCAGCAGCAGCTGAATGACTGACCATTTGGGTGTGATGGGGAAGCTTCCTGGATTAAGATTGTCACTGTATTACCTGGGCAGCCTTTTCATCTCTCCCAACTCTTCATCTTTCATACTTCTGTTCACTTGGAATTAGAGTAGCTACCATTGAGTTGTAAGGCACATCCATCCCCAGAGCTCCTAATTGAAAACTCCTTCCCCTTCTTCCTTTCCCAGCCAGAGCACAGGAAGGGCCTCTTTTTCTACTTCCTAGAGCTTTAAGCCATTTTTCTACCAAGGCTTGTAGAAATATAGATTTTTGTAATTTGGTTATGCATAAGGTTATTTTAGTTAGTATTTTGAACCACAAGTCCTTTTTAAAAATGTGTTGGATGCATTCTATCACTTGCACAATTTATGTTTCTGGTTTTGAAATTTCTGACATTGAGATGTGTTATTGAGTTGTATTGGTCTTCCATGGGTTATATACTGAGGAGTAATGACTCCGTCCATCCCCCTTTTTCTTTTTCTTTATGAGATTATTAAAAGGTGTTCAGGCCACATCTGCTGACACTGATTTCACTGTAAAACAGTCACCAGGACTAAAAAAAAACCCATATATCCTAAGACCCCCAGAGACCTGGCTATCTGGTTGTTCCATCTTGGTCTTTCTCAGAGCCTGGAATGTACTTCTGCTCTTGGACACTCAGGTGAAGTTTCAATTAGAATGAGGACATCATCATCATCAGTTTGCAAAATGATTTAGTCTGTGATGGAGGGCTGCGCTTTCAGAGACTTCAGAACTTCAGAATTTCACTCTTGAACTTCATATGTAGTGGGTATAGTGTATGTGGGGTAACGTGGTGAATGGAGCACTGTGTCTCCCATTTTTACCTTTAAATATGTCAATTTCAACCTAATATCTTCCAGGCAATAAAGCCAATTTCTCACCCAAAACCCAACCACCAAGCCATCAAGCCCAGCATCTCAGGGGACTACCAGATACTACCAGATGCTTGTACTTGAGAGCTATTCACTTCACTTTCCCTGGAAGACATGCTGATCTGCTTTAATACATGTTGCGTGGGTGTACATAGCCAGTATAGGTACCTGGCCCACAGCCCAGTGCTTTTGGATTAGAGAACTTAAAGCTTTCCCTTCTGTATCACAGGGAGCTCTTTAGCTGGCCTTACTTTAAAAGGTTCCTTGGTGCTGATGCATCCTATTTATCCCTGTAGGATATATCACCTTGACATAGAGACCTTATTGACCACTGAACATTCATCGCTTGGATGCTGTGTGCTCTTACATCCTCCACATTTTCCATGATGTACAACCTCCCGATCACCATTAGCTCCATTAGACATGATTGTTGGTCAACCAGGAGTATCTAGTAGTCCAAGATAAAAAGGACACCCTACTTCATGCTTACCTTTGAGATATACCTATAAGTAAAGGACTGAGCTGGAAAAGCCAAAAAGTTCTTTTAACATTTACTGACAGGGAAGGGGATAGGAATAAGTACAATCTTGAATTTAAACAGATTTACTTTGGTGATGGCTTTGTAGTAATCATTAAGTAATCATTAAGATGTTTCCAGAACATTAGAGTTTTTTTTTTCTTCTGGACTCCACCACTTACCAGGAGAAGACATGTCTGCCAGATGATGCTAACAGTAAGGAATCCTAGGCAAAGACCAGAAAGGTTCATAACATCTAGAAGTTGGCCAAGTAGTGTTGGTTCGAACAGACAAACCTGAGCTGTTTCACTTTAAAAGGCTCCAGAAACCCTGAGATTTATTCATTCATGAACTAGCATCATTGAACAATGGGTCCTGACATAATAACAAACTACTAATAATTTATGAACATCTCTCTTTAGGCTTGAAATTGCACTATCTCAATTTCATTTGTTCCTAATTTTTAAAAAATGAATAAACTGAAATCTGAACCTGGGCAGGGTCATTGATCAGTCTACTGGAGCTTTTCAAAAAACTCTGAGAAAGTTACTATGGAAGTACATTATTTAGAGCCTAAAATGAGGCAGCATCATTACTAATGATCTCATGGTGACTTCTGGTCATGTGTTTTTTCTTGGGGGAAGAGTTCTATAATTCTTCTGCATTGATTACAGGTCAACTGGTTACTTTTTCCTGGAGTATGTAAAATATGTTGTTTTCCATCAATTTTAAATCACACCCATTCTCTCAATTTTTCTGAGGCTTTTGAGTATCCTGATATCCGTAGAACTCTCTACCTCCATCTACTTCCTTTCAATGTGTGAACTTAAATGATTTTAACTAAAACTTATAAATTTATTATAATAATACTTGGTAGTGTAACATTGAGTAGAAATAATAATGTGTCCAAGAACTAAAAATATCCCAACTCAATAATTCATAAACTCAGATGCCTGAAATAATGCAGTAATATCAATAAAATTTTAAATTCTCTCTGTTCTTGGGATTTACATTGTAGTTGTGTGAGTCACAGAGTAAAGCATGCCCATTAATTTTAAATAAAGAAAACTTTACCACTTGGTATATAAAGAGAAGATGGTTATATTATATTTTCTATGTATTGCCAGCAGTAGAATAATAGGGAAGAAAGATCCCTAAATTTGAAGTAGACACAAATTCACTAGAATGTGTCTTTGTTCTCAGATGCAAAATAAATGTTTCTATATTACTTTATACATTATTTTGTTCTGGTAAGCACAAGTATGGAGAAGTGAGTATCTTTTCCTTTCTTCTCGATAGTATATATGTAATACATTCATAAGTGGTCAGAAATTTCTTGTTCATTTTCCACTCTAAGAAAAATCACAATAAGAAAAAAATGATGAAACCTGTGTTTATAAGCATATTCAATTTGTGTTTTGATTCTTAATTTGCAATTAAAGGATGAGAATTTCAAATCTCAAAATAACTTCTGAAATTTAACGTAGCATGCACGCATGGAGAAATGAATGCTATCGCTTTAAGATAAGGTAGTCTGGTGATTCATTGCACGAAACAAGAAACAAGATCGATTTGGAGCAGGCTCCTACTGTTAGCTTTTTTGAAGATGGATTCTCACGCCGAAAATAACACAACATATTCTAGATAACAGCAGTTTTTCCCCCTGAAATCCACCAAAACTGAAGAAAAATCCAAGTGACTGTTCTTAGCAGCTGTGTGGCCCGGAGTTCACTGGGGAAGCTGGCTTCCTGCAGTCCCCTATTCATCACCTGCTTCAAAGACAGCCTGGCTGGCTATAGTGTGCAGGCCAGGTAGGGTGCCATTGTGCACAGTCTGGGAGGATTAGTATCAAAGCTGCGGCAACCAGGCCCTTGGTCTCGGGCTGCCATTCAGTCTAGCAGGGAGAGGCTAAGACTGGCCAAGGTCACAGTCTCCAGTGTGGAGTGGACTGGGAAAGGATCCTGAGAATAGAATGCTCTTTATGAAATCATGGCGCAAGCTTGCAGCACAGCAGGTGCCCTTCTGGAACACATAACATCTGTTTATGTTGGTCTACCGTAGCTGACAACAAGATAATAGAGCTTTGAAATTTATCATTTTATTTTTTAAAAAGACAACTGTATATACAATAATCCAGATGCGTATTTAGCTTCGAGCTTTTATTTGAAAATCATAAAGAAAACTGACCGATTTAATTGCTGCTTTTACGTGTATATATTGAAGCAAACAGCAAAGCGTACTGACTATTAACCATTTATAACCATTGCAGATCAGTAATACCCGAATTCTTGGGTAGGAAATACCTAGCATTCAACATAATTTTATTCAGTGTTCAGGCATTTATGTCAACAGATTGCAGAATGATTTCCTGAATATGCCCAACTGTCTTGAATATTAGGAGGTTTGGATAAAATTCCTCCCCCCCACCCCCCACAGACGAGAGTATTTCAAGGGTGAGGTAATAATGACGCAAAAATAAAATTTTCAACTTGGACAAATTAGAGAAAAATTAAGCTGTCCATGAGTTGTCATGACGACAAGGATGTTCTGTTGATGAACTGTCCTCCTCATTGTCCAATCAGATAGTAGAGCTGAAGCTGGAGCATGAACAGGAGAAGACGCACCTATCACAGCAGCATAGCGCAGAGAAGGATAGCCTAGTCCGAGACCATGAACGGGAAATTGAAAACCTGGAAAAACAGCTTCGCGCTGCCAATATGGAGCACGAAAATCAAATTCAAGAGTTCAAGAAACGAGATTCACAGGTAATTATCAATAATATTTGATAAAACGGGTATCTATTTTTAAAAAGTCATCAGCGTTTAGTGTTTTCTTATTATTCTTGTTGGTGCACGCTGTTTGATCATTTGCAAAACTGACATATAAATGTGATTTTTTTTTTGTTTTCTTCTCCCTACCCCCCCGTTTTGAGGATGAATAAGGCTTTAACTACAGAAACCACAGGTAGCCAGATTAAAAATCCCATGGCGCGCTATAACTTGGCCCCTTTTTTATAATCTTGTCTCGGTGCCTTTCATGATGGATTTTTTTAAGGTATCTGCCCCTTACCCCTCCCCTCAGCCTCAGCAAATCCCTATGAAATATATCAGCCTCACTCCTTGCTTTTTGTTTTAATCTCTGTAGGTAATCAAGCAGCTGTTTTAATATTTGCTTTTCCTTCCTGGTATTGCTTTTTTTTTTTTTCATTAGACTCTATATTTGATTAGATCACTCAGATGGTAATTGATAAAAATGACTCCAGAGAAGGGCTATTTCCCATCAGGTCTGTCGCTTTTTCCTACATGCACATTGCACATGCCTCCTAGCCTCCATCTCTGGAGTCCCTGTTGGAAGCCATTTGGCAGAATAACCCCCAGCTGTGGTAGCATTTGACTCTTCAAACTTATGGATGAAATGTGCACTGTCAGCATGGAAAATTATCTTTATAAATTTCAGATGAAAAAAAATCTTATTGGGTGTGTGCATCTTTGTGGTACAATACGTTCTTTAGGGTATATATAATCAAAGGCCTTTAGTGTATCCTCTTGAGATTGCTGGGACATTTTATTAAAGAAAAATTGAGGAGCAATTGATAACAAAAAAAGATTATTTTCTTTTCTAATAAGACCATATCATATACTAGGTCTAAATACCTCTTTTTTTCCCATTGAAATCTTCACCATATTATTCATACCACACATAAGCTTCTTGCTAGTTATCCTTTCTCCCCAAATAATACAATTTTTAAACAATGAACTAAGCCTTCTATTTGTTATGACATGTGTTTGAACAATTTTATATAATCATCTAAACAATAAAAATACTACTGATTAAATAAGATGTTTATTTCTTGGTTGGAGGGCGGGAGGCGGTAAGGCAAAGAATAAGGGTTATTGGTTATTTTTCATTTGACCTTGAGTTGTCTTTTACCTTCAGAAAATGACTGGGGCACTATAAGTATACTCAACGTGGGTTTTTTTGGTCAATGTTATACATTTATAGGAAAACTATTTTCAATTTGTTTTGGGGGGGTTTGCTAACTAAAAAGGTAGTCATTGTAGTAGCCATGGTACCAGGAGAGTCAGGTGGTTCCTGCTAAATCAACGTGTATTATATTTTTGCCACCAACCTCATTAGAGCCTTTATAAAATATATGCTGATCTTCTGATTGTTAGCCGTATAATTTACTAAGAATATTTTCAAACTTCCATTCTTCTTCAAAGATGATGCTAAGCCTTACCATTGTCTTCTATGATAAAGTATTTGGGTTCTGAGTCTGTGTAGGGTCTGTTTGCATAGTAGAATTGAATACTTGATACAATAAAATACATTAATTTATGTAACTTCCTACTATTTTGGTGCTGTTGTGGAAAGCTGACAGTAGTGGAGGCCAAATTTAGGAAATCTTTGTGATTTTACATACGTCATATCTGCCATATATAGGGTGCGGTTCATCCAATAACAAAAGGGAAATTTTAGAATTATTACATATAATTAAGTCACAGGGAGAGTACAATAAGGTTCTTAATGAATTTCTTCTAATTGAAATAATCAGTATGAGGACCATATGACCTCTTCAAATATTGTAGGATAGGATTGTGTTTCTCCTATTTTGTGTCTTTCTTGGAACAATCGGAATTGTTGTCATGGGAATGCTAGTAAAGCAATGGAAACTAAGGCTAAATGCATTCTTGATCTGAATGAAAATGATTTTCTGTGTAAGCTAAATTTAATTGTTTTTAGAGAATGTGTTTTAAAAAAACTTTCCCAATAAGTTATATTTTTAAAAATATTATCATGTATACCAAAATGCTAATAATTTGTATTTATTTTGGTTATTCATTGAGGATATTAATTCAATATTTCCTTCAGGTAAGATCTAAATTTTTCAAATATATCTTTTCATGGTTATGATTTAAATAATATAATGTATACCTTTGAAGTCCTGAATTCCATTCACGAATTTCAAAAAAGCAAAGTGGATATATATTTTTTAAATAGATATTATTTTCAAATCATTGTTTTGTGGCTTGATACATGTGTGATGTATCTTAAATATTGGATTATATATTTTTAATTTTTAGTTCCAGAGAGATTTGATTTTCAGTTCATGTTTAGCTACTCCCGTTTAGCAATGGAGGCCATTTTGTAAAAAGGATTGTTTGAAATACTTAACCAAAAGAGGACGAGTGAAGGTACCTATTTTGGATACTGCAGCTTTGCTTGCCATTTTTTCTTCCATCAGATTGTTCAATGCAGACAATATACTAAAGGTCTACTTTTGGTTTCTTCCAAACATATAATGTATACTGATAAGAAAACCATTATTTTAAAGTATAGTTACTTACCGTAAGGTGAATCATATATCAAACAGGAACTACTCCCTTTTGGTGAATATGCTGTATAATTATTACAGGTTAGTTGTTACCCAGGTAATTTCTGTTTTATAGAGAAATCCGAAGATATAGTAATGCAACTAAGGACAATTAACTATTTCTTTCATTTTATTTGGTGCATTTAGCTAATTATTCTATGCATATGTTATATCTTTGTCATAACCTGATTTTCAATTAAGTAGGATATTTTATGTTGTGATGCTTACATTTGCTAAAATTCACATTAAATTTTACCATCCTCATACAAGATGGTCAACCTGGTATCTACCTAGGGTCATAATGTTTAAGAAAAAGCATCCAGGTCAGTAGATAATAAGAAGTTACAACCTCATTGTCTAATATTTCTCATTTGCCAGATCCCTCTTATTGAAATTAATTTGGAGGATGATTTGATTGACTTAATAATATTTTTTAATACAAAGAAAATGTATAGTTTTGTTATGACAATCTTAGGAGAGCTTCTTCTAACATGGTGGTTCTGCATGTCATTTTGCTTTTGAACTGCAATGTAGTGAAAGAATTTCAACAGTTTATTCTTTTGAATGACAAGAAAAACATAACTTAGGTTCCTTGACCTCTTAGTTGTTCTTTTAGGACCCTGTACCACCTGGAGATTGCTTGATCTTTTTTATGTTTGTCACCAGAGTGTATATATGAATACTGTAGAGAACCTTTGCGACCTGCCCCAGAGGTGGGGTCACCATCATAGGACAGCTGTCTATGTGATCTGTTGGGGTACAGACACATGGAAAACTCAGGGTAACCACAGCAGCCACTGTGAACCACCATCAGTATAGTAAGGCAAATTAGTACACCAAACTTAGAGAAGGTTATCACGAGATCCAAAAATACATTAAACTTAAAAAATTTGTATATAGGAAATTGGATCTTGCCTAACACTGGCATCTCAATGCCTTTCTTGATTTCTTAAACTGAGAACCATGATGCTCATATGAATGAACTTTGCATAATAAATGGACAGAGCATCTTGATTTTGCCATTTTGATAAGTAAGAAGCTGCCTTGTTGCTAATTCTAGAATGTAGGATTTTCAGAAATCCTCCTCTTTCTCTTTTCTACCTAAAAATATCTTCCAGAAAAGCTATTTGAGGTCAGATAATTTTAATTTTTAAAATTATATCTCAGTAACATCACTTTGTTTTCCATGAATTTGGTAGCCTGGGTCCAAAATAAAAATGTCCATTTATAAACTGGGTATGTGCCTGCGTGCATTGGATTGAATACTGGCTATCATTCTTCAAAGATTGCTTATGGATAAATTTAGCAATATGTGTGTTCTGAACATTTCTGCTAAACCTATGCATGGTCTTTGGGCTTTTGTAGGGGAATATTTTTCCTTTGAACACATTGAGTTTAATTTCTTTATGTGCCAACCACTTTCAAAAAGGATTTGAGGCAGCATTTTATAATAAACACACATTTAAACAGGTAAAATATACTGAAAATAGTAATTAAGCAATAAATGTTATTAACCCACCAGAAGATCTATATCTTTTTTAAAAAATGCTTTAGTTAAGTACAAGTTTGAGCTTTGAGCTCACCTAGAAGCCACAGCAAAGAGGGAAACATGATGAACTGTGTAGCTCTAATTATCTATGAAAGAAATCATACCAGTTCATTTTTTTCTAGCTCTCAGTTCTGAGATAAATTTATGACATAGGAGTTAGCATAAAGGCCACTGACCAACGTAACTGATGACAAACTCTATATGTTAAGACATTTGGAAATAAAATCTTGTAGGACCAGATTCTCTAAGTACTTTCACAAAATGTAATTAGCGGGTTTTATTTTAATGTGTCCAAATTTCATGTTAATTAATTGAAAACACCATCATTCTTAATACCAAAAACACATCTGCTTCAAGAAGGGATCCAGTTTTGCACATATTATGTAATAAAATGAAAGTATATTTTAAGTCACAAGCCTAGCAAATTCCAGTACTTTCATTATGTGACTGATCCTGAAACCCTTAGAAAAATGTCTTTAGGAAGTTCCAATTAGAAACATGGCTGAGATTAGAAATAGTTTAAGAGTTAATGCCCTACTAGTAATTTCCAAGACTGTTACTCTCTTTCTTCTAATTCTCTTGTCCTCTGAATTTATATTATGGAAAACTCTGAGAAATAAAAGTAAGTGGTAATTTGGTCCAGTAGTGTAGGCTATTTGTATCTATTTGTAAAAGAGGTTGCTTTCTACCTACATAACCAAACTGGTACTTTATCATCAATATTTATTCACTAATATCATTTACTTTGTTTTGAGGTAGTAAATATTTTTATCTCTTTGGGTGGACTGATGTCTTGGAAAAACCAAACTATGTAAATATCTTTCCCCCAACATAATGAGGCT